AAGACAAAGGAGGTGAAGTAGTTTGTGGTGGTGGGGGGGGGGGGGGGGGGGGGGGGGGGGGTCTGCTCCCCCAGGCATGATGATTATTAGGTCTAATTATGTTCCCTGTTTTTCAGCCGTATTCTCCCACTGCCTCAGGATGTAATAGAGTATTTACTGGACGATGGGACACTGGTAGTCTCTGGGAGGTACCTGCGTGTACCTGCGTGTACACACGAACACACACACAAACACGAACACACACACACACATACAGTAAGACAGAATAAGTAGAACACACACCTGTGTGTGGCTGTGTAGCTGTACATGGATGAATACATTTCTTTTAAAATCTTTTTTACTTCTCAGTGACCACGACACACAGCAGGTGTTCAATAACAACAGCTCTGATGTAGAGGAAGACGTTCAGGTAAAAGAGCAGACGCTGAAAAAAACCCATCGACAAACACACCTTTAATCAAATGCTCTTCTGCCCTCCAGTGGTCAGATGATGAAACTACCACCACTGTCACAGTAAGAAAGCAGGAACAAGTTCATTGTTTTTCAAATCAAACATACATTAGCCTGTATGCTGGTGTCCCCTGGTTTCTGATGCCACCCTTATGTCACCCAGGCTCCCGAGTTCCCAGAATTCACCTCCAAAGTGCTGGAGGCAATAAATGCCCTGGGCGGCAGTGTCTTCCCCAAACTGAACTGGAGTGCCCCAAGAGTGAGACAGAGATGAAAAGTTCACAACTGTCAACTTTGTTACCCTCAGCCTCACCCTGTCTCTCCCCCCATCCCCCCCTCCCAGGATGCTAACTGGATAGCTCTGAACAGTTCTCTACAGTGTCACAGCCTCAGTGACATATTTCTGCTTTTTAAAAGCTCTGACTTCATCACTCACGACCTCACGCAGCCGTAAGTCTGTCTGTGTGTGTGTGTGTGTGTGTGTGTGTGTGTGTGTGTGTGTGCCCTCATCGTCACGTGCTCCTGTTCACAGGTTCCTTCAGTGCAGTGACCAGGACTCTCCAGATCCAGTCATCAAATATGAGGTGTTTGAACTCTGACAGAGACACGGAGACACTGAGGACATTCTGCTGCTGAGACCATGACTGACACCTGTCTGTCTCCTGTCCTCAGCTGGTCCTGAGACGGTGGAGTGAGCTGATTCCTGGAGGAGAGTTCCGCTGCTTTGTCAAAGAAAACAAACTGATCGGTGAGACGCCTGTTCATAAAGGGAGGGGGGAGAGGGGGGTTGATGATGATGATGATGGTGATGATGATGGTGATGGGGATGATGATGGTGATGGTGATGGTGATGATGATGGTGGTGATGGTGATGGTGGTGATGGTGATGGTGATGATGATGGTGATGGTGATGATGATGGTGATGGGGATGATGATGGTGATGGTGATGGTGATGGTGATGATGATGATGGTGATGATGGTGGTGGTGGTGGTGATGATGATGATGATGGTGGTGATGGTGGTGGTGATGATGATGATGATGATGGTGTTGTTGATGATGATGATGGGGATGATGATGGTGATGGTGATGGTGATGATGGTGATGATGATGGTGATGGTGATGGTGATGATGATGATGATGGGGGTGATGGTGATGATGATGATGACGATGATGATGGTGATGATGATGATGATGGTGGTGATGGTGGTGGTGATGATGATGATGATGATGGTGGTGATGATGATGGTGATGATGGTGATGGTGGTGGTGGTGGTGATGATGATGATGATGATGGTGCTGGTGATGATGATGGTGATGGTGGTGGTGATGATGATGATGATGATGGTGTTGTGATGGTGATGATGATGATGATGATGATGAGGATGATGATGATGGTGATGGTGATGATGGTGATGATGATGGTGATGATGATGTGTGTGTCTGACCTCAGCCATCTCCCAGAGAGACTACACACAGTTCTACCAGCACATCCTGAAGCAGGAGCAGCAGATCCGTCAGGCTCTGCAGGACTTCTTCTCCCAGCACGTCCAGTTCAGGTTCCCAGGAGAAGACTGTGAGTCACACAGACCATAATACTCAAACACCATCTCTGCATGATGGAAACTGAACAGAAAGTGAGCAGAGCTTTACCACCAACAGAACATTTCCAGTGAGAACACTGCCTCCTACTGTCCTGTTGATGAAGTGTCACCTTAACAGTGTAGTGTTTCCATGTCAACTCCTCATCTGTCCACTGGGGGGATCCTGTCACAGCAGAACTGATCTGTCTCTGTCTCTGTCTCTGTCCCTGGTGTCAATAAACTACAACACTCACACTAACTATCATTAACTTAATAGTTAACTATAATTAACTAGTAGCCCCAGTTCTTTCAGGTGGAAACAGGAAGTCCAACATCTGACGGTTGGTTTGTCTGTCTTTTACAGTCGTGTTGGACGTCTACAGAGACAGCAACGTGAGACAACGCCGTCCATCCCATCACTCTGAGTGGACGCCTCCACACTCACACCTGATGAATGACACGTGTGTGTGTGTGTGTGTGTGTGTGTGTGTGTGGTCAGGGTAAGGTGTGGCTGATCGACCTGAACCCATTTGGAGAAGTGACCGACTCTCTGCTCTTCACCTGGGAGGAGTTAACATCTGGAGGAGGCCAGTCCCAGCAGCAGGTGGGTTGGGGGGGTGGGGGTGGGGTCGCTCCAGTCCAGAAACATTAGGGTGTGGCCTGATTGAACTTGTCTCTGATTGGTGGGGGAACTGTCCGTGGTGCTGATGGCTGTCCAGGCTGGGTCCACATCACACCTGCACCAATGAGAAGAATTGTAGAAGATGGATGGATGGATGGATGGATGGACAGATGGATGGTTGGATAGACAGATGGATGGCTGGATGGACAGTCCTGACGTGGGTGGACGTCTTCCTCTGTCTTCTTCTTTGTTGCCAGGAGGACCTGGTTTTCCGTTACACCACCAGTGAGGTGACGGTGCAGCCCAGTCCGTGTCTGAGCTACAGAATCCCACGAGACTTCGTGGACCTCTCCACTGGAGAAGACGCCTACAAACTCATCGACTTCCTGAAACTGGTACGAGTTGAGCCACACAACCAACCTAGTGTCAGTCACGTGTCAGTCACTGGTCCTCACTCTGATCTTCTGGCTCTCTACATTTAAATACCTGAAAATAAAAAGACAATTTCACTGTGTACCACTAGAGGGAGCTTGTATGTTAATTATTCCTCTGTTCATTTCTGCAGAAGAAAAATCAACAGGAAGAGGAGGAGGAAGAGGAGGGGGGAGTCACTGTGACATCTGTACAGACTGACCGACCGACTGACAGACTGACTGACAGACTGACTGACAGACAGACTGACAGACTGACAGACTGACTGACTGACTGAC